TAATGAACGCTTTATGCGCATTGGGTCTGCAAATTGATATTTAAAATGACCTTTGTAGGTCAATTTAACGCTTGAAACTTTATTCGTAAATGGAAACCTTCCATCCTTGAGCCGGGGAAGCAATTTGTAGTTTTCGGACGATATTGGCTGGAACACACGTAACCGGTCCGTGTACTCTCCATTTTGCCCACCTTTGGGCAATGCCACCATCTTCATAAATGGTATATTTTTGGCATTAAATGCTGCTCTATGCTGTTCAAAACAAGCCAATCCTGGGAAATGGGGTCTACTGCCAAATTATTTTGAACACATTCAGGTGGCATCACACCTCTCTTAAGTTTTTTATCACAGTTGCTGCAGATCCAAGGCTGCCCTCTCCCAATTTCAATCCAAACACAGGGTACTTCACAGTCATCAGTACATGTGTGTAAATATGTGTCTCTGATGCATTTATTAGCTAGTTCTTGATCCTTATATTTCTCTTTTTTTTTTTGCAAGGCCTGCGATTCAAATAACAACCTCTCGCAGCAGCTACATACAAAAACGGGTCCATTCTTAACTTTGGCCAAAAACTGCTGCATTACAATATCAAATACCTCTCTATTTTTTTGCATTTGTTGCCTCTTCAATTTGTTGCTAGCTGTTACTCGCTTCTTATAATCTGGATTACCATGATACTTTTTTGAAGTCATGGATTTTACCTTCTTTCTATGCAATTTATTTTGCCTATATTTACGTTTGTTAAATGCTATAACTTTCTCTCTATGTAAAACTTTTAGTCTATAGTTCTGTTTGCTTAATGCGATAACCCTTTCTCTATGCAGATCATCGTCATGATATTTTTTTAACCTATATTCTTTTACTTTCAACGGATTACTTTTATATATTCTTTTACTTGAATCCTTCCTCATCTGATTATGCAATGGGTCTTCATAGTATCTAACCTGAGTTTGTCCAATTGATCTGTGTTTGAAATCATCATCCTCACAATAGCTTTTTCTACGACCGACTCTTACTATCTCTTGATAATCTGCATCACTATACTTTTTCATGGACGCATCCCTAATCCTTTGCTGGTACACTGTGTTACTTTTATAATACAGTTTCTTTGTTGAGCTGTATCTCTTTTTTAAATATGTTGAACGACAGTGCCTACGACTCCAGCTGTTTGCAACACTCTCTGCATTGTCTTTAACCCCACCCTTCCCAGTACAGATATCAACACTGCTACGCATAGACCGTGTCTCTGACAAACCCCCCACTTTACACAATTCAAAGCACCTTTGTTCATCGTAAGGTTTGATACAAACCACTGGCTCAAAATGATTTTTATCACAATGTTTCAAGTATATGTTTTCTTTTGAAAGCATTGCACAATTACAAGTGTATTTGAGCCATTTTTCCCCACTGCAGATAAAAATATCCACTCCAAGAGCATTTGCTGTCACTTGGATTTCTACATCTGTGGCACAATGTCCTACATACTTCATCTGAGACTTCTCAATGTAGTCTGAAATTGAAGCAGATCCCCCAACTACTTTAGTTTGTTCTGCGTGATTCATCATATGCTTTACAACAGTCATTCTAATCTTTCGATGGCTCTTCTGAGAACCACTGAGAACATGAGCTACCGCTCCGAAGAAACTATTAGCGTCCTCTTTATTTTTTCGGTCTTACAGACCACACCTAGGGACCCAGTTACTGTAGGTCCCAGTACATCCTGCTTTTGAAAGTCTATATTAAACTTTGTGCAAAGTGTTTTTGCCACTTCATTGCACAAAGGATTCAATTCAAGAGTGATTTTACTTACATCACTCTTTTCCACACAATCTGTGTCCCCAGCAGACGATGTACCATGCGTTTGTTCGGTAACCCTCCTTTTGCCTCTAGTTGTCCGTCTGACATTGTACAGTCTTGGACAAGAAGTGTCCACTTTGCAATACCCATAACAACTCTGCAAATTAGGTTGTTTTACACACACAACAGTCTCATAATGGTTACCATTTGCGGTTTTCCAAATAAACCCCCTGATTAGACAACTGCCCGTTCTCGCAACTATATTTTAGCCAGCGTGGATCACAATATGTGAATATATTAACTCCAAACGCATCTGCTGCTGCTTGAATTTCTAATTCTGTTGCCCAACTGCCAACCTCACACATTTTGGATGTGCTGAGGTATTCTGACATGGAGGAGGTCAAAATACGCTCATAAGGCACAGCATTGCTCTGCATTTGATGAACCACTGCACGCCTAATTATTGTGTGATGCCTTTGTGTACCACACACAGCTTGACTCACTGCTTTAAAGAAACAGTTTCCGTCACCCTCTATTTTTTCATTGAGACATGGAGCCCCTATCAAACCAATTTGTGTAGACACAACATCTACTTTCTCTGACTGCACATGTAACTGGTCACAAAGAGCTTGTGCAAGTTGATTACTAAGAGGATTAAACTGCAGTCGTCCACTTCTTACTTCTTTCACAAAAGCAACGTCTGAATTAACTGCGGTAACATCACTCTTTTTACATTTTTTGCAAGCAGAAGATCCCTTACGAATCTTACGCTTTGCACCCATCTGAATGTTGGTGCAGCCAAGTGTGGACTGAATAGCTGAACTACAACCCAAATCAGTCTCTGTCGTTTTGGGAGTCACTCTTGGACCCAAAGACAGATTACTGCTTTCAATTGGGCCTATGTGAGTGACTCGGACACCAGCGATCTCAAACTGTTTTTGAGACTTCTTGAGGAACGCTGCAAATGTCCATATGTATTGAAACACGTGTTCAAGGCCTCTGAAATACAGAACAACACTACGCCCCTCGCCATCGCTCATCCCAGACGCACTGCGTGCATAGGAGTCGACCACTGCGTAGTGTCCACCTTGACCAATGATGGCACATGTACCGCCATTCATTGTCAGAAAGCATGTGTCATAGTTACTATACATCCTTTCCAGTCCGTATTTTAAAGTGGTGTGCACACCCTCATCAATGAGATCACCCTCAACCACATCCACATCTCCAGACACAAAGTCACTGTATTGAAACAGAAATCTTTGTCCGTCGATAATGGTCTCCTTGGGCAGATCTGGAACCGAAAGTAGTCTGTATCCTCCACTGATACCTTGTTGGTCACGCAGGGAGGTGTACAGATTGTCACCAAGTACAACAACTTTATCCAGGTTGTCGGTCTGCCATGTAAACACGCTGTCAATTGTGTGTTTTGCTATGCCTACCAAACTTACAGCCATGCACTGAAGTCCTGCATATTTAAAGCGTTGATCACCCTGACTGAATGTTCCCCTGACACACCCCATATCCCCATCAATGACTCTAGCCGTCTCCGAATTAACTTCAGCTGCTTTCACAGAAAGGCTTGTAATGCTAAACTTCTGTGCATTCAATGAATTATTGAGATTCCTGATGTAAAACATCAGGTCATTAGGGCATGTGTTGAACACGGCTACAGATGTGCCAAAACTGGATGCTAACCCAGACGCACCACGTGTGCCACAATCAACGACCACAATACAGTCATTGTGTTTAATAATGGCACTGGCTGCGGAATTTAGGTTAAACAGACACATGCCATCCCTGGATAAGTGTTCAAGCAGCTTCTCCGACAATACCTGTTCCCCTTCAGACAAATTCAATTTGCCGTACACTGGCAGACCCATATTGACGTTCCACTTACGTCCAAACACACTGGTCTACTCAACCAACCTGCACAAGTTATTTGGCTTTACATTCATTTTATGGGCTTCCCCTAATACAAACGAGTTAAGCTTTGACCCTGCAACACGTATGGCATCGATATCTGTACTGCTCCACGAACACACAGGCGCAATCAAATGTTTGATCGCAGCCGCTATAGAACATGCGACAGATATTGTATTGTCAGAAACGGATGCATACCTCACATCAGTCCCTGCGACAACAGCCAACTGCACTTTTTCTGAACACATGCAAGCATAGCCCTTACCTGTTCTCTTTTCTTTTTTTTGAAAACTTTATTTTAAATTATTAGGGCAGTACATTATATACAAGTTACATCAATAATACACACATCACACTAAGTATACATATATAAATAACATAAGGAGAGCACGTTTTACTTATGAGGCTCAGTTAGGTCACAGACTCAAGATGCCCCATGGCAGAGTCTGGGATTTGTCCAGGATCTTTTTTCTCCTTAGTTCAGTGAGTATCTGTTTCACTATGGTGTTACTGCCGATTACTGTTACGTCTAGTCAGTATCATTTTACACCTTGTTTTCCACATTTTCATACATGCGATACAAATTATCATCTGAAAAAGTTCCCTCTGCTTTATGCCCATCCCCTCATCTAGAATACAAAACATAATTGAGGCATATCTTACATTGAATACTAAACCGATCCCCGCAGGAGCGACCACACCTCCTCGGCTCTGTAGCAGTCCATGAGGAGGTGCTGTTCTCCATCTGTTGTCATCATCAACATCCACTATCACGCTGGGTGATGGCTCCTTGCTGGATGATGGCTCCACGCTCAGTGATGGCTCTACGCGGGGCAATGGCTCCACCCCTGGCAATGGCTCCACCCCTGGCAATGGCTCCACCCCTGGCAATGACTCCACTCCTGGCAATGGCTCCACTCCTGGCAATGGCTCCACCCCTGGCAATGGCTCCACCCCCGGCAATGGCTCCTCCTAGAAGAAAATTAATATATAAAAAAACTGCTAAAAACACTATGTGTCTTAAATTGTTTCACAAACGTTTAAATAAATAATAGAAAGATATACAATTACTAATACAAAATGATTATTGTTATATATTAACTTTTGTTTTTCTACTTACCCACACACATATGAATGGAACTCAAAAGAGAGGTTTCTTGTCATTGATTGTGTACACTTGAAACAACGTTGACTGCATGCAGGCTAACAACTGAAACTATTTTATTTTAACAATGAGCAAAAGTAACTATGTCAATAAATTAGCATGATTCATTAAAATGTCACTCTGAAAGCACATCCTTCACACAAAGAGCACAGACCTGCTGCTCCACAGCAACTGTCCCTCTACTGGTAGGTGGCCGTAAAATCACCTCCACAACCATGGGAGCTGCCTCCCCCTAAAAAAACAAAACAATTTAGTCAACTTGAGAATAAATAACACCACCAATATTCGTGTAACTTCTTAGTTTTAAACAAGTCCTATATTGCCTTTAAAAAAGAAGAAAACAAGAACAACCTGTCGCTTTGCCAGGGTCCTCTTGGAGGCAGGAGCCCTCTGCTTCAGCTCCATCTTTGCTTTCTAACGTAAGGAAAACAAAATGATTAATCCTCCACTAATAACTCCTTATGGACAGTATAAGTTGTCCTCACTGTAATACATTTAAAGTTTGTCAGGAAGGATACATTTTATAATAGGGCATCAACCAACATACAAAGCAACAAACAAATTACCTTTTGTAGTTTTGGAACCGGTGGTGTGCACTCATCAGGGCCAGGAAGATGGGATGGACTAATCTTGTCCATCTCAACCAACATTGCACTGCTGAACCACACAGGTGTCAGTGGAAGATAACTCTCCTCCAATTCCTGTGAAATAAAAATGAAGAAACACTGTTTTAGAAAAAGGAAAAGAAATGCACATATAAACTGCAATAAACATACCCCAATGATTTCAAAGCATACTACAAAGTTGACCTACCTCCTGCTGAACAGTCCCTGCTTGTTTAAGTGCATCAATGGACTGCTCAGGTTCATCGTGTTGGCTCCTCTGTAAAGATAAATAGCATAGCTTGTGTTAATCAAATGGGTACTCTTCCACCATTATCAAGGCAAACTGCTCAGGGAATATCACTCTTATTGAAAGATGTCAACCACACAATTACCTTCCTGCCCTGGCCGAAAACGGTCCACTTGGAAGGATCCAGTTGCGGTGATTTGGCAACCTCTCCTTTGACAATCACCCTTGGAGTGACTCTCCTCGCAGGCGGTGATCTTCTGTGGACAACAGGAGATGGCTTCGGCTCGGCTGGAACAAGTTGCATATATGTTGCGTTCCAGATAGAACCGACCAGGATTGGCATTCCCGCACTGTCACTCAAGTGCACCTGCAAAAACCAGCAAATGCAAATACAAATACATTTACAAATAGCACATAACATTCAATATGTTTTTTCAAGAACGGAACTTGGAATTTCAGCTACAAAGAAGTATACAGATAAAACGTTTCCATTTGCCATGTCACTCACGCCATCTCTGCTCCACAGGTCAAGTTCTTTCGAAGGGAAGTACTCTGCAATTGGTGTGTACTTCACGCCTAAAAAAACCAACAAGATCAATTACTAACATATCCACACAGATATTATATTTTGCTCTTTTAAAACAAAGAATAATGAAAAATAGGAAAATGATAAAAATGATTTACGGTACTTGAACCTAAATATTTGTTAAACATACCCATACGTGCCGCAACACGACGAAATTCCTGACGCATCATGTCTTAGGTAGTCAGGGTCAACGGTAAGGCGCGGGGGGAAGTCCATGGCAAAAACCTAATCAAAGTTACAAAGGTACGCTATTTTTCACAATTTGTTGATAAAAATGTCAATTTTTCAGAAATTCATAAACATACAACCACATCAATAAGAATACAAAATGTAATATTATAAGAACTATAATAAATACAATAAAAAATAAGCTTACGTTAGGCCAGCGACTGCAGGCAGTCGCGAGGAGCTTTGCAAAATCCTCTCCTGCTTCAGTGATGGTCCTACTGGATGTCAGGTTGTTGCTCGGAGCCATCACACAGACTGCATCTGGTGTCCTAGGCAGCACAGCATTGACTGCCTCGGTTCGCACCTGGGTTGCGCATGCCCCCGGTGGGGACATGGCACCAAAGGAAAACCTTCCCTCTGGCATCTTCACAATTCCATCGACGATGGAACGGAGATGTGAAGCTCCAACAAGGAGGACAAACTGTAACAACAGAAGACATTATTTCAAATGAAAATCACTAATGATTACCCAGACTTTGTTAACAAAATCTGAAAACAATTCATACTTCCTTGTCTGGAGACTCGGCTGGTATGACCAATTTGTGTTGTCGTCCGGTCAGGGACGAAATTGGCCATTTCTGCACTCTATGGCGGTTACCCGTACCGCCAGCGGCTATTTAAAAACAGAGAAAATGACACCGACATTAAACTTAATGAACCTTTACAATTCTTAAATTATGAAAGCAATAATAACACATCTTCCTACAATAACACCTGTAAACGGGCACGTGCAGAGGATTTTAGAAGGGAAAGGGCTCAAATGCATAAAGGGTCCTACCGGTGATTGAATTTTAAAATGTATATATTTAAAACAAATCCATGTTTCAAACACTGCTTCATGATAGTTATCTAAAAATGAATGCAAAGAAATTAAGTGTATTTCGGTAAATTCTCCTCATCATAACTAGCTCGCTTGCCCACAGAGGGGTGTATCTGTGCACGAGCCTGCCTGTAAAAAATGCACATGCAAACACATTTTACAATGATACAACCAAAATGGACACCCTAAACATATACAAAATTGAATGACAAAATCCTCGACTACTTAAGTGCGAAACTGGCATTGCCAGGCTGCTGATGTCTGAAGTAAAAAGATATGATTCTACACTGTATTGAAGTAAACATGTATTATTTTGAATTGTATTTTAGTGAACATGTATTGTTTGAACTGTTTTAGGTAATCACAACGGTTTTGGGTGATCACATATATAGAAATAATATTCTCTCTTACAACTCACTGACCCAGAGATTCTGCTTCACACACACACATTGGCCTTTTCACCCCTAAAAACAGATGTTGGTTTTAAAGTCGTTAAAGACCTCATTAAATGTATGCAGAGGGGTTTGGATGTCTGAGGGGGGATGG